AAGCACGCGTCATCAATCCACTACCGTGTGAGATGTTGAGTTTGCTGATGACGCCGCCGTGTTGGCTCCGACTCTGGCTGCCGCACAGCTGGCATTGGAGACCTTTCATCGGATATCATCTGCCTTTGGGTTAACCATCAACTTCTCAAAAGACCAAATTCGTGAGTTGTGGTACGGCTGCCGACGTTTATGAGACCCTGGTTATTGCAGGTCAGGAAGTTGAACATGTGTCCTCCTTCGTATATCTTGGCAGCCTCGTTGACCCTGACTCTCGTGTTGGCCTTGAGGTTGATCGTCGTCTTGCCAGCGCATCTCGTGAATTTGGAGCACTCCGCTGTGTGTTTTTACTCCCGGCCTGTCCATCCGCACAAAGAAAATGCTGTACGAAACTTGCGTTCTGACTGTTTTGCTGTATGGTGCTGAGTGTTGGCCGGTTCTTCGTCGTGATGAGATCCGTATTGACAACTTTCATCATCAATGTCCACGGTGTATCCTGGGAGTCTCGCGCTGGGATCAGGAGTTGAATCATATCCGGAATTGTGACCTCCGTAAGCGTTGGGAGGATGAGGATCTGGTGTCGGACACTATGCGTGGTCGCCGCCTCCAGTGGTTGGGCCATGTAGCTCGGATGCCTGACAACCGTCTCCCTAAGCAGTTGCTGTTTGGATGGCTTGACGCTCCCCGACCAGCTCAGGGACCTCGTCTTCGGTGGAAGGACAGAATACAGTCAGACATGAAACTGTGCCAAATTGATGAATGGTTTACTCTGGCCCAGGATCGTCAGCAATGGAGAGATGCGTACCGCACTCGTGTGCTCTCTTGCCTGGTGTGTAAACGGACATTCAAGAGTAAATCTGGACTCGGACGACACAAATGTTCTGCTGATCGCCAGCTGCCTGTAGCGGAACGGCCGGACGCACGTCAATGCCATGCCTGCCTTCGGTGGTTCCGAAGTGCCGGTGGACTTGCTGTGCACAAGTGCACAACACCCGCCCCGGCATCACCGCCCACACCCCAGCGCATACCAATCACCAGCCATCCGTGTTGCAACCAGCACTGCGCTACCTGTGATCGCTGTTTTAAATCTGCTCCTGGCTTTCGGCGACACAATTGCAATCGTGGACGGCGTCGTGGCGGAGCGGCTTCCTAGTGGCAGTGCTGACGTCTCTCGAACTCTCTCTTCTACTATCCCCTGCCTCGGGGGCGGCGTGGCCAAGCATTTGGCAGCTGTACACCAGGCCAGGCCTGGTGTGTGTGTATGTGTGTGTGTGTGTATGTGTGTGTTTGTTTGTTTCCTTTACTACCAAACACAGCCCTAATCAGGGAAAGAGGACAACAGTTACTGAAGTTTTATTCTCGTACCCCCCTTTATGTACAAGTGTTGTCTGCCTCATTTTGCCCTGAGATGTTTTGATGCATAGTGATTATGACGCTCATCATTCGCTCCCTTGTCACTGGACAGTTCTGTCCGTTTGGTTTTAGCGAATTCAAATAAAGAAAACAACAACAACAACAACAACAACAACAACAACAACAACAACAACAACAACAACAACAACAACAACAACAACAACAACAACAACAACAACAACAACAACAACAACAACAACAACAACAACAACAATAACAAGTGACACTGGAGTTATTGTTGATACTGAGCTCTCCTGGGATGGTCTTGTCGACCACACCATTCGCCACGTTCGACGCTCCATTGGTGCGCTATGGCGCTCACGTCAAAGCTTGACAGTCTCCTCGAAGAAGCTATTTTATCATGCAATGATCATGTCCAGACTAACATACGCGTCCAATGCAATTTGTCCGTCTCTGATGGCCAGAAACATGGAAGCCGTTACTCGTATGACGAAAGCTGCAATCCGTGCCTTCTTTGGCTTTCCGCCGTAGACTTCCACTGCAGGGCTCTTCGAGAGACTCTGTCTTCCTACCCTAGAGGACGCCCAGGCAGCGAAAGTTTTAATATTCGTTCGTCGCTGCATCCATGGCCGTTCAGGTGTCCTGTTTCGGAATTATTACGCCAGAACACAGAGTGATCGCACCCGTGGAGCTGACCAAAACCGCTTGCAGGTAGATCTACCCTTCTTGCCCGATCCTTCTGGTAGAGGCATAATCCAATTCATTGGTGTCATCATCTGGAACAAGACACCGCCTATGATGCGCTGTGAACCTTGTCACGCCCATTTCTCTACTCTCTCGAAAGTGTCGAAGTATTAAAAGTAAATCACTTTTTTATCTGTTCACCAATGGGCAACCCGTTCTAATTTTGCGTAAGATTTTATCTGATCAAATCCTGTCCTATTGGTACCTATATTGTAGACTGTGTAGTGTTCTGCAAGGATGTTAGGAAATGAACTTCTCGACATCAAATCGGTCAGTTTCACTTCGTGTTTTCGGTTTTTCAACAGGGTTCTTTCCCCCGCAGTTCTATCTGTAACATATTCAGTTACCTTCAGTGACTTCTTTCACTTGTGATTTTTTCTCCTCC